CAACCTACATTGCACAGCACACCCCTTCAGAAAACTGTCGACCACAAATCACTTCTATTTCGGGGCACAGTAGTCTCGACATTTAAAGCTCCGATTTGGTCAGATTCTTGTGTCATATTGAGTTTTTTTGATTTTGTCAGACTTCTAGGGTTTCTAGAACCCTGCCAATAGCTTTAAATCTTAACTGAAAATGTGCGTTTTTTTGGGAGAGGGGAGGGGGTTCGCCCTCTACCGATTTGAATTATTTCACTACACTGTAGGGGATTTTATCGTAAATTACCGAATAAACACATGTTAAATTTTATACACGAACTTTTCGTTATTGCTTAGAAAACGAATACTTGTTAAATGACGAAAAGTTCGTAATTCTTCCTAGATATGTAAGTTATCCATGTTATTGTGCACTCCTGTCAACAAATGTGCGTCTATAAATTTACGAACAATTTGTTTATTGCCTATGAACAGTTCGTATTTTTGGATTTGACGAACATTGTTCGTAAAATCAGAATACGAACTGTTCGTGAGGAATTTTATCGTAAAATTACGAAATCTACTAACAGTGTACGACTTCATATTCAACGTGGCAATTATTGGCTTGCCTCCGTGGAATTTGGCGGCTGGAGCCTAAACGGCAAGAGATAAAAGCCTCTTCTTTCACGAGTTGCCCCTATGAATGGTTAATATTATATATACACTGAATGTTATTCTGCAAATTCATTCTGCCTTTTAATGGTACAAAACCACCCTGAAATTTGAGGACCGCTAATAATTCAATTCATTCGAGGGTTATCGTGCGTAAAGTCGTTATCGTGCGTAGCCAGACAAACGGGCAAGCAAACAGTGAGTGAAACGATTTTGATCAGTAGAGTAACTGGTACTAGGAGTCTCTCAGCAAATAATAGATATGCTTCTCTAAGAAACTCCTCAACTTCATAAGGTAAGGCTTCTAAGAAGCATTCACGAAGCAACAAGAATACATATTGTTTATCACACCCGAGGATTTCGCAGAGTAAGTACTCTGATTTGTATAGACACCATGGTTTTTGGTAAAGTTTACGTAAGGTTTTGAGATTCGTTGAAGAAGGAAGGGGCACGAGCGGGCAAAGAAAGAATTGCCCTTTAATGGATCAAAAAGAGCTGCAGACGAAAGGCAGATCGAACGAAAGGCCTGGGTTGGAGCTGTCTTCCCGTTTTACCTTACCCCTTCCCTTGCCTTGAAACTGCCTACTCCCCCTTTCCACTCCTCTCTCGCTCAGTCGGAGTGTGCTGTTGATTAACGACCCGGGCTGACGACTGACATTTTTTTGTGCGATATCCCTCGTCTCGGAGAGTAATCCCATCCCAGCAGCAGCGATGTATTCGGAAGATTGTTTACGGACTTCTTGCGGTGGGTTGCTGTGCGAGAGAAGGGGAAAAGGTAAGGGAAAAGGGAGGAGAGGTGGGGGGGGGGGCAATTAGGAGGGATATGACACCGAAAGAGAATGAAGGAGACGGAGACTATAAGGTTCAACGCACATGGAGACAACACTGGCCGCTTATACGCACAGGGAAAAATACACATACCATCCGAGAAAGATCCGTTATGTGGATTGAGTTTGATTGTAGCTGTGGTCGAACTTGTGCTTATCCAGTAATACTGAGCACTGAGCGTAGTGGAGGGGCACAAGGGGAAGGCATTGCCGGGCAGGTTGACAAACGAGCTAACGCCAGATAGGAACTCCATGTATAGTGTGGGGTGCACACCAGTAAGCCATCGTCGGAGAGAGGCTTATGTGAATACAATCTGTCCTCCTGCCTCAAAGCTTTCTAATGGATCACTGCCCATCATATAGGAAGTATTGAGACAATTTTAGAAGAGAGGGAATAAAAACAAGCACATTTCTTCGCGAATTATTCCGTATAATGTAAGAGGAACACGCGCAGGGGTACAACTGCACTTCGTCACGTTAAAATTATAGAAAACATTAACTATTTTTGCAGAGGAGCACTGTTTTTGGTGCACATACTCGTGTATCCTTTTTTCTTAGAGGTGTCTAACACTAAAGTCTAGTCGCTGCCGACAACTTCATTTCCCCCTCCCCCATGACGCAAACCGCTCACTCGTTTTACATCGTTTTCATGACCGCTACCTGATAAGTAAGTGCAGTTGCGCAGTGTGTCCATGGGAGCTCATGGCGGAACCAGCCAACCGGAGCGAAAACGCTGACATGAACAGCGACTACTGTACGGTGTTTCTGTCTCGGGCTCAAAGAGAGAAACAATATACACGAAGAGCAAAAACGAATGTTGACTACTTAATTGGGTAGAAAACGTGTAATTATGCTCTAAACATATGTGGAAAACGCAACCAATGACATAGCCAAGATGTATCACTAAGAACTGCAATCTGTTACGCTTATTTTAAAATGTCCACACAAAGATATCCTCTTTTTAAAAAGGCATTCTTAAACACAGTTTTTTTCCAATTTTGCAGTGCTCAGAAGACTCTAAGAAGAGCAAGGCTCCCGAGAAGGTCGAAATAAAATTTCGACACATTCACAGGCAAGCCTTTTTCAGCTAGTGCCTTCTCTCTGTCCCTCTCAGCCCCCCCCCCCTTCTCTTTCTGACTTGTCCCCAGATCCACTCTCCCAGACGATGACAGATGCCTGGAGAGATGTCGGATTAACAGCACCAGTAGGGAGCAAAGCATCCAGAAGTCAAAAAGTGAACACGATAACACTCACCATGGAGTGGCCCAGGTACTCGGCGGCGTTGTCCGATATGTAGAGAAGCTTGCCGTTCTGCGTCATCATCATCAGGAACCCACTAAGTGCCTGTAGGAACAAAAAAATTGTGGTTTTAGCAAAAATTTCATGAGCAATTTCAAAATGAGGTTTATGAAAATAGGTAGAGAGAAATATTACTTGCGAAAAGACGTCTCATTAGACTAAGATATTGTATAATATGAAAAGCTGAACAAATGTCCATACCACCGCGATCTACTGTTCATTACTTTGATACTTCAGTTTAAGGCATGCATTCAAGGAGAGCAGCGAGAAATATACAACAGTTTCCCTAAACATTCGTTATTACCGCGCGACATTCTTGCCGCATACCGAACGCATGTACACCGATGCCCCCTCCATTCCCCTCACCTCCACCTTAACAGTAGCAATTTAACGCGGGCGGAAGGTGCCGTTACCACAACACTGCGGCCCTTTTACTTCACTTACTTTAAATTTTCTAGAAAATCTAAAAAAAAAAGACGAAGATATTAGTGTTCTTGGAACACAATACGGGCAACCAGTTTTCTTAAAGGAAAATCATCGTTCCAATGTTTTTCTACTTGTTTACGTGTTGTTGCTCATGTGCCTCGCTTAATGGTCTCACCCCGCTTCCCCACCCCGCTGTCTCGGGACCCTATCAGCCTGAGAGAGACATTTGCAAGTGCCAAATACATTGATAAGCGCGTCCGCGCCGCGCGATACCGTCGAGACGTGGCGGGGCACCTCGTGACACAGCGTGTGGGAGGGGGCAGCAGCGCGCGGCCACCACCGGTCGGAGGGGAGGGGGGGGGGGGAGTAGCGCGTGCATCGTAAAGTGTAGCGTCGCGACGTCGCGCCAACTCTCCCACCGTGCACTCTTTTGTGGCGCTTGAAAACGTTTTCCGCCCCCCCTTCCCCTCACTCCCTCTCCTTTCACCGGAACCTATACTGAATCATCACTAACAACTAATTTTAAACAATATTGTGTTATTCTCATATTCTCAACACTGGTTACATATTGGTTACATAGGTGCAGAAATAGCATTATGCATGAACACGGGAATTTTTAAGTTATTACTGAGCTTGCGTTTATTGTTTAGGGACAAAACAGTTCGTACGATTGTAGTACAATACGACAATCCACCAATCCTCCCATAGGCACACGCAATGTCACACTTTAAGCTGTAAGTGCACACTGTGAAATTCATTGCAAACAATAGCTTCGCATTGCAAAAGATTTTCTTCGGAACTTGCGTCGAATTTTGAAGCATTGTAACACAAACCAGTTCTTCCCTAGTTTGAAAACGATTCTTTGCCATGCGAACACAGTTTGCCAAGATTCTGGTAGCATAAAAAGAATTTATTTGCAATACGAGCTAATTTTTTGCAATAACAATACAAGGCTCAATTTTTGTTTTGCAACGTTTGCAAAGAGCACAGTTTGCAAACATTTTAAAGTGGAGATTGTAGATGTCAAACCCCACGCAACTGTTGATGTAACGGGAACGAGGACTTTCGCGACGACACACAACGCGCTTCAGTAGCCCCCTTCATTTTTAATGCAACAAGGAAATAAAGAAACAAGGAGACGAAGACGAAAAGAGGCGGAGAATGGAGAAGGCAAGAGAGATGCGATACAGGGGCGACTATGCATTTTTAGAGGCACTACCGGGGAAGCTGTGCGGAGAGACAGAATAAAAAAAGGCAGGGAGGAGGGGGGATTTACCGGTACGTCACGACAAAGGCGGAGGCTTTAGCGTAGCCCGACCGGGTCTTCTCTCGATGCAGCACAGACAAAGTACCAAATCAAAAGGAACGAAAATTTAAATATAAAATCAGTTTTGAACGAGAGTGAAGTGGCGGAGTGAAACGCACCAATATGAGTATACACTTCACGCTAGATGCATTTGAGTCTATAACATCTATGGATCATCTTAGTGACATCTAGCGTAAGATGTCTAAAACATCAGTCAGCAAATAGATGGCCTTGTATAGAAACGACTCGCTGTAACCTGCAAGATACGCAAGCTGTAGCCTGCTTTTTGGGCTTGGCAAGGAATGCTTCGCAAACATTGAAGAGTTTTTTTCAACTTAGTTCACGGAATATACCTGTTGTGTGCACATGTTTATATACCAAGTTCCTTCATAACGTCTCCGTCCTCTTCCGTGGCGCTGCCTCGCTGGAGACACAGACCTCTTCCCGGCGAGACGTTTTGGGGACCGCAGCCGCTGCTGTGCGCTGCCGTGGCAGAGAGAGGGGACCGGGCGGGGGCGGGCGCGGCAGGGGTGAGGCCAGGACCAAGGCGCCGGCCCGGCCCGGCCGCCCTCCGTAATCACAAGACTATTCTCCGGGAATGTTAATGGCCCCCTTCCCCCTCCTCTCACCTGGCTGCCGCCGCCGCCGCCGCCACTGCTGGCTAAATCCAGGTAATGCACATCAGAGTGCTGTCCTTGTGCGTTGAAAACAACGAGGAAGGCAATAATTAAAAGAGTCCGCTGCGGAGGGGAGTGTCACGTTGTCGCGGGGCGGATGTGTTGGCAGGAAGAAGCGTTTTCAGCTCTATGAGATATTTTTGTGAACCACAAGAAATGAGAGGTCTCCGAATGGACTTTTTGCCTACGATGGCCAGTCAATTGCAGAGGAAACGCTCTTTGAAACGACATAAGA